GGGGCACACAGACGGGGAAAGAGGAGGCTCTAGCAATCATATTTTATATTCTATGTACCACCTTTCACATTGTATAGGATATTTCTAGGTAGAGACCAACTGAACAATTTAGAAGGTGCTTTGTTGTGAAAGTGAGGTCTAGGGACCAAAACAGGAAATAAGGGACACTGACTGAGATGTTACTTGTTCAGTAGTGGCTTTTGACTTTCTTTTCATAAGTAGATTAGATTTTGTGACCTGCATCCTACATAGACCAAAAAGCCAAAAGTGTTTATTTAAAAGAAAATTCTAGGTGTTAATTTGAGCTGGAAGTACAAGGCCTTCTTTCCTTTTGACAGTTTGCTTTGAAAGGGTTTTCTGGTGAAATGCAAAATATACTGTTGCTGGTTGAAGGTAATGATTCTTCCCCTTAGACTAAGTACAACCCAAATTTGGCTGATTTTACATCTTCAGGAAACTATTTGTGTTCTGTGTGTGTCATAAAGTATCAACAAACACTCATGTCAAAAGCAGCTTGTCAAAGGAAAAGTGAGTGATGAACAAATGAACACTGGCCTGTTCACACTGAAGATATTTTGACATAGATTGTTTTAAACCTATAAAGCTTCTCTGTAGCTTTTGGATCAGTATTAACATAGCCAAGGCACACAAATTCTATTAGAATAAGAAGGAAAAAAAGACTCACAAGTCTGTCTTATAGGTCCTCAAACAAACTGGAAATATGAGCTAATAAAAACACTCGAAGTCAGAATGACCAGAAAACTCAAAATATAATTGCAGTTGAATACTGTAGGGTAAAAAGATTCAGAGGTAAAGACTGGAGAAAAAATGTAGTGCTTACTAACAATTCAACATGTGTTTTATCCTGTCCTCAGATATTCCATATTCACCACAGCAAGATTAAGTCAGGATACAACCCTGTATAGCAAAAATAATAATGTTCCGTTTCATCCCTATTTACCAAAAAGTAAAAGTCTCAAGAATCTTGATGAGTTCTAAATCCATCTCTATGTTTCCAAACCAGGTTAACACTTGTACAATTAAAGAGAATGTATCCTGTTACCCAAGTTCCGGGGCAAAAGCCCCTAAAAACTATTTTGTGTACCTTTCTGCTGATGATCCATGCTTTCCAGCTCCTGTGTCTTGGCCTTTGACGCCCCGAAACATACTTCTCTTACATTTGATTAAGTCGTACCTGTTGTCTAAGGCCCTGTTTATACGCGATTCTTCTCTGGTGCCGCCTGCCGCCAAACGGAAGTGACCATGCTCTGAACTCCCACAGCTCCCTGTCTGAACTTTTTTGGCTGGTGCACGAGGGCTTCCCGTGACCCTGCCCAGGTTCAGTGATTTTCTAGAGACTTCACAGGACTGAACGCACAGTCATATTCGTGTCTCTGATTTATTACAGTGAAAGGACACAAAGCAAAATCAGCAAAGGGAAAAGGTGCACACGGTGATGCCCAGAGGGACCTGGGAGGAGAGCTCCAGACTTCCACAGGCTCACTCCCGGGGCAGTCATACAGGAGGTGCTTAATTCCTGTGGCCAAGGGTGGTGACAACAGAGGAGGCGGGCTGTCTACCAGGGAAGCTCCTTAGAGACCCAATGCCTGGACTTTTTACTGAGGGCTGATCACATGGGTCCTCACTGCCTAGCACGTGGCCAAACTCCAGACTCGCGTAAGGATGGCAGGCGTCTGGGATCAACCGTGTTGTCTGCACAGTTTAGGCAACACGAGCCATTCCTACCAGGTAGGGTCAGGGGACCCCACTCCTGATCCCAGCCAAGGGCCAGCCCTGCCAGCAGGCCTTTCTAGAGGTGAGGGGCGCATGCCTGCTTTCTGTCTTGTCTTTCCTGCACAGGGGGTGGTACAGTTCTACTTAATATATGTAATTATAAATTATAATTTGTGTATGTGTTAAATTCTATGTCACATGTCTATGTCATGACTTCTTCTCTGTAAGCTCACTGAGGAGGTGGAGGGGATGTTTACATCACTCCGTCATTCCCAGCAGAGAATAAGATTCCTGATGGAGACATCCCCCAAATTCGGATGACGAGGAAGTCTGCTCCAGGAACCGCAGGACCCGGGCAGGAAGGCAGATGCAGCCGTGTGGAGCGCGGCTCTGCCACGCCGTCCGGATGGAGCCCTCTCTGTCATCTGTGAGTTTCCTTTGTCAAGGGTCAGGGATGGCACAGACTTGACAAAAGTAAAGGGAGACACCCATGATGAGTAATGCTGCTTCTGACCTGAGAGCATTTTTATTGTTAAATATACGTGTACTTTCTAATGAAACAAGAATGTACAGCATTTTTTTTCCAGTAAAATGATGTCAGGTCACAACCACTTTTCTTAATCCTAAATTTTACTTCGTCCTGTCCAATCTGTTACTTATTCTTATTCTACCCAGAAATCAATGCATATGCTATAATCAGTGTCTCACATTCACTCGCTCACAAAAACATTACTGAGTACTTACTGTGCCACCACCAAGACATCAATATTAAAATCCCTACAATAAGAGCAGTGCTGTGCTGAGTACCCCTCCGAGAGATAAATACTGTTATACACTCTGCTTTTACAAATATAGTTACTAAGGAAGTCATGTAATGCTCCGAAGAGTTACTCTGAAATCCATGCTCTTAATCTGGTATCTTGATTATCACACCCTTGAGAAGTTCAGTCTTTTTTTGACATAAAAACGACTCTGACAAAATTAGAGAAAAAAAATCTTGTTCCGCTTTAATGTTTTTGCTACCGCTTTAAAAATCAAAGGACTCAAATATTGCTAGAATTTTCCATCCCATACTTGGTAAGTTATGTGGTCTTAATGAAAAGTTATCACTTAGTAATTCGTTAGAATGTAGTGAGGGCTTAACATTGGATTTAGCGTTTGTGACTGCCATTCTGAACGTAAATAAAAGCACCATTATATTGGCTTGGGTAAAAGAAACTTAAGCACACTGAGATCTTTTCATCCCTACAGGTGTGTGATGGTTGAGTTTTTGCTCTTGTACAATTAGAGGAACTATTTAAGAACAGAGCATTTCTTTTCTCTCTGAATAGAACGCACTTTTATCATTCATGTCTCCTGCACAAGGCTGCAAGTAAGACGTGTCAGAGCCTGGAAGAAGACCTCATAGGAGGGAAACTATACTTCTGAATTTTTAATTTCTTAAAGAATAAATAAAAAGGGAAACGTTATAAATGAGCTGCAGTATGTCAAAGTCAAACCACGGTTTGGAAAGGCAGACACAGGTTTGTCGCTGGATCACAAAGCAATACTTAGCATGACAGAAGAGCTGTCAGTACTGCTTTCTAGGTCAACATGAACATTCACATTCAGAAAGATGACCATGTTCTGCAGTTGCGGGCGAGGCTCTGATGTGACAAAGATGATCGACATTTGAAAGGTGTTGTTTTAATTGACAACTACTTAAGAAAACCTTCAAGTGACTGATATCATCACCTCAGGTCAGAGAGGAGGCAAGTGTGTCTCAGGGAGGTTGAGTGAGTGTCTCAGGACACGTACGTAGGAAGTGACAGTGGCCACTTAAACTCTCAGATCCACTCGCTCCAGGGTAAGTGCCTTAACCACAGGGCCACCTGGGCTCTCCAAGGTTAGGAATGTCCTTAGAAATGTGCACTTTCAAGGGTTAAGATACCATGCTCTGTGGTCTTGTGCGTCTGTGCACACCCTGCTTTTGTTCTGGGCCAGCTTACGGAGCATGTTTGTACAGTGGCTGGCAGCACAACACGGAGATATGGTCTCTCTATAGGCCAATGGACAGGCGTGCTCACTGTCTATTAAAAAAATAGATTTTGCTCCCCAGTACCTCCTCTAAAAATAAATAAATAAACCGAATTACCCCCCTTCAACAAAAAGTAAAATAAAATTAAATTAAATTAAAAAAAAATAGTTTCCTAAGCATAGGGTTCCACCTCTACCTCCGACCCAGTATGTTCACAAGTGTCATCTGACCATCTTATATTTTCTCATAAGAACTGGCCTCAGGCAACCAGCTTAATAAAATGTTAATACTCTGGTTACTCCTATTTTTCAATGAGTAATAAAGTCCTTTGTTTCTCAAAACAAAACAGAACCTTCCCTAAGTTGGAAGTGGGTCTGTGTTCTGCAGTGCCTATAGTTTGTGTCAGTGTTTGGGGGGCCCTCCTGAAGGAAAGAAACATAAAATTACAGACAAAAAATTGAGTTCAGGGCTGTGGAAGGGTGCTGGCCAGTGAGGGGCCCTGAGATGGAAGTTCTCTTTGTGATAAATTCATCTTTGTCAGAATTACATTTTTGGAAGTCATAATTTTCCAATTTCACAAATGGCTCTAAATGACTTTTCGCTCCCCAAGCACCAAGTCTATATATTGCCTGCTAACTCATTTTAGAAGAGAGCTCTTAATTTTTGTTTTCCAGGCAAAATAAAAATCTAGATGATCTCTCCCCTGCTACAATCTTTTCAACATTCTGGTGTCTTGCTTCGATTTACAGACAGTCCAGGGAGTATTTTGATTTTTGCATCCATTAACTCAATAAGGCAAATACGACCAAATTAACGTCTTAAATTAAATTGCTTTCTAAAACCTGTCCCGGTTAAATTCCAGCATAGTTGAGCCCAAACTCCTGGAATAACTGAATTCATGGGAGTTACATCATGAATGTTGATGCAGTTTCAACTTGAGTGTGCCACAGGGCAGCTCTCTGAGGCTTGACGTGAGAGAAAAAACATACTTTGAGTAACACTTTGAAAGTAGCAAATAATCTTTTGCATACTGCGCTGAAGAGGAAAAATAGTTTAACTCACTTTGTTGTGCAAAATCACGTTCTTCTACAACAGTAAAATCTTAGGATAGTCAAAAACATTAACAAGTCATATTTGTGTATTGCTCACAGACAACAATTACAGGTTAAATGCTATAAAATATTGACCTGAACTCATAAAATATGTAAATGAATAAACAGTTAGGAAAAAATGAATGTAGTTCACTTACTTTTGAAATATTACTTGATCGACTTGCAGATCGCCCTGGGGATTTGTCATTCTGAAAAATAAATAAAATTAGAGACAGTGATTAAAAATGTAGCCATCATCTTTCCTGCTGAAAAAAGAAAACACAGAACAGGCCAGCATGGAGAACTTCTCTGTGCTGTTCTGACAGATAAACATAAAAATTGCTTACACAATATAAAATGTGGTATTTCTCTTACCAAATTTTAAATCTCTAGTACATATCAGTGTCCTTTTGAAAATGTTTCAATTAGTATCAGGGTTTACTTTATATCAGTCTCAGAGTATTTATATCCAGGAAATGCTTATTTCTCTAGAAAAATATATGCAGTTCCTTTGAAATAGGATTAGCAATGAAAATATAGTTCATTATCCCCACTTTTGCTTTTGCTACTAGAAAATTCTAAAACAGTACAATTCTGGTTCCCAGTATCAGTAAATATTGCATACCAGATACATGGTCCACAGCATCTAACTTGTGTTCTTCTAAAATACATTTTCTTGGTGTTTTATTTTCAGAATTAAGAAAAATTAAAGATACTTTAAACATTTCAGACTTTGAATTGTTTAAATTGAAAATATTTTAAAAATTATTTTAAATTTTAAAACTTAAAAATAAGTTTAAAAAAATTATACCTCAGTTCTTGCCTCTTAGGGAATTTCCAGTTTAGGAGAAAAGAGGCCTAAAAAGGTTTTGAATCGATACTTTTTAAGAAAATCATACAATTTTAAAGTAGAAAGGATCCTTAAAGAGTGGCACCTCCTTGTTCAAAGCCCAGGAGGCTTCTGTTTCTTGCGACCACAGAGCTCTGCCCAAGCCAGGGCCAGCCCAGCGCTTTCTGCTGAGACCACTCTGCCGATTATCTGCTAGTAGGTAATCGACCAACAATCAGAATAAGCAGACACTATGCATTTTACATGGATCAAGAGATCACAGCACACCTTTCCTCCATAGAGAAAATGCTGTTGGGAGAGCCTGTTCTGAAAACCAAAAGTTTGTGAAATATCTAAACTAACACTTTAGGATTCTTTTTTTAAAAAAATGTTCTGAGCATCTGAACTCAACCCCACAGTGCACCTGAGCAGACAGCTACAGTGCATCTTGAGAGAGGTCATTTCTGAGAACAAAGTTGTTATAACAACCTGTGGGTCTGAAATTGCCCGGTGATGACTGCTCGAGACAGCTTCAGGAGGTCAGTGATGACAGGATATGGCACAAATGTTATTATGGAAACACAGCAACTGCGTTCCCTGCAAACTCTCACTGTGTCTCGCACGGGCTTGCAGCCTTCCCAACAACATTTTTTCTTTTTCTTTTACATGCAACATCTCATACAACCTCCGATGTCACTGCGGAGGAGGCTATTACAGACCCAGATGAGTCACAACTGTACGATTAGTTACAGCTCGTAACAGCCCTGTGATCTCCAGCTGGAGATTAATGTCTGTGCTACCCGAAGACATTTTTCCTTGATTAGCTTCCTCCGGTGATGGAGAGAGGTACTTTCCTACTGACATCTCAACTCCTTTCCTATAGACAAGAAAACAAAACCCATCCATCTTTCCTTCACAGTGAAATTCAGGATTGTGACACACTGTTGGCTGGATCAGAGGTCAGTAATATAAACAGGCTTTGGAGGGGGTTTTGTTGTCCTGCTCGTTTTATGAACATTTTCTATGTTTACATGATCTTTGAGAACACGATCAAAGAACTAGAAATGAAAGGTGTTTCAGCAAGAACCAAGAAGTACTATACATATTAAATTTGGCATCATGTTACTTAATTTTTTCAGACCAAATGGGACTTTGTAGTGTTTTCAGATAGGAACAAGGACAGGTCCCTTCACAGCTGTGAACGGGTTCAGCATGGGGTTCTCATAAGCAGACAATTCCCATACACTTCGCCAGTATCCCCCAATCTAATGGTGGGGGCAGGGGACCACCTGCTTGATTATTTCGAATTTCAAGATATATTTCACCTTGACATCCTTTGGTTCTCTTTTCTCCTAATACAAGGTTGGGCATGGAAAGAAAGAAACTTGCTTGGGCAAAGGCTAGCTTTTTGTCATGACCCAGTTTGCCATCACTTCTATTCCAGTAAACACACGGGAAGGGAGAGGTCACACTGTCACTGTGCCGGTGGTGACGCAGTGTGGGACTGTGACTTCAACTAGACTGGGCTAGGGCACTAGGTCTAGCAGGCGTATGTTGGAGATACCAGGACTCCAAATTCCTCACCGTGAAATGGGCAGATCATATCTTGGGGACTGCTGTAAGGATCAAATATATAAGTTATAAATGAAAGCATTTTATGGATTACAAGGTCGTAATATTTCCATCAGGTAAGGGAAACACCCAAAGAATCCCCTCAAAAATCATGATAATCCTCTTAGGTTAGTAAACCCATAATTTTTAACACAAACATCTTAGTTTCTCTGTCCTGCAATTCCACTGCTGTTGTGGATTAGATTCGGGCATATAACATTTAAGAATGAAAAATCAAACTTCTCTCTACCAAAGGGGGTTAAGGAAGTTTGGTCTGTTTTGCTTTGGAAGCAAAGCACCAGAAGCACTTTCTCTCCTGGAAAACTTCCAAAGCAATCTGTCCAATTTGCTACTAATTAATCAGGTGGTTTGTCTTATCACTATTGCAACGACAGAGTATTCTTTGGAGATTAGTCAAATATGGTGGTCATACCTCATTCTGATCAGTTTAAATTCTTTACCTTAGATTAAATAGAAGCTGCCTTGGAATCTAACACAACCTACTGGTACCCAAATTATAATTACCTTGTAGGTCACTAGAAGTTGAAACCAACAAGAGTTCCAAACAAGTCTGCACAAAAATTATGAGATCATCAAGGAGTAATGCTGAGCTGCTTTGGCAGATCAGTCTCATCAGGTTATTCACGGTGTGCAGAGGGAAAGACTTCTAGTTTCATTAAGTTTTTTTAGCAATATTGAGCGTTTATTCATATGCCTATTGGCCATTTGTATGTCTTCACTGGAGAATTGCTTGTTTAGGTCCTCTGCCAATTTTTGGATTGGGTTGTTTGTTTTTTTCTTATTGAGTTGTTTTAAATCTTTTCAAAAAGTTTCTAATTTTTGGTTTGATATGAATGTATCTGGTATTATTAGTTTCATCGTGAGATGATTATTAATACAATAGTAATTGTTTTTCAAATTTGACCTTTCTAAACATGGCTGGATTTTTTACTACCAGTGGGGGAAAAAATGATGACCAGATGAGGAAATCATTACTAAATTATTTTAACATGTTTAATGTTATTATCTAAGGAAAGTGACATAGTTCCTTTAAAAGGAAATGCCCTGTGTCAAAGAAGGCATGATACAGTGGGCATGTGTTTATCCAGAGAGGAATAAACTGTATATTATATCATTGGTCAGAAGAGGGCAGTATAGAAGTTTGAAGGAGTATTTGGTTGTTTTTTAAGTATACAAAAGGAAAAAGCAAACTATTTCTGAGTGCAGAAATCAGAATAAGACAATCTCACACAGACCACTGATATGATGCTATTCTGTAGTTTTGTTCCCCCTTTTCCCCCCTACCTCCTCATCCTTCCAGGCTAAAATCAAGATATCTGAAAGAAGGAAAAAAAGAGACAATTTTGAGGGTCATTTAAAAAATTCTAAGTAAATCATGAAATTGTTTCTGTTAGAACAATTAAAGAATTAAAGCTTGGAAGAGAAGAAAAGTCTTTGAAAGCAACATAGCTGATAAAAAATAAACAACACAGAGACACTGAATAATGCAATAAAACTTGATTAATAGATATACTAAAAATCTCATGTCCTTTAAATAAAAAAAGCTTTTTAAAATGCCTGTGAGGCATTTAAAATTTATTTGGCTTCAAATAATGCTTGGACAAAAATCTTCAGGTAGAGATTTTATAGGGCACTTATTTTCATTTTGGGTCAATAAAATCGGAAATAAAACTTTGCAATATTACTAATAAATTTGATCACTTGAAAACTAACTAACATGTATTAATATAATCCTTGCTCCAAAGAAATGAAATCTCTGAAAAATTATAGCCAGAAACTCTGGAAAATGTTACATGAAGACCTATGTAACACAACAAAACCTACATCCAGATAAGAATTTCTGACTAAAAGCCTTCATTATTAAAAAAAACAGTAACAAGACAAAACAAAAGGATGCAGTAAAAAGAAAATAATAAAATATGAATGCTAAAACTCATTAAATGGGTATAAACAAGAAGGACAAAGAAATATTTCTTATAGCAGATTTTTGAAAATAATTACAAAATAGATGAATTTCCTGTAAGACTTATTAAAAAGAGCAGAAACATATAGGAAATGAGAAAGGATATATAACCAGAGATAAAGAAGAAATTAGAAAAATTATAAAAGACCGCTATATGTAATGGTATTACTACAAATTTGAAAACCTAGAGGAAATGGGTCAAATTCTAGCACAATAAAAGTTGTCAGAATTTATTCAAGAAGAGGAAATAAATCGATGATAATGTCAATGAATAGATCATTAACAAAGAAGAGACTGGATAAACAAATGAAAGTCTATGTGCCCTGTAAAGTGCATGATGATTTCACAATTAAGTTGTATCTTACTTTAAAAGAATACATAATTTTAATTTTATTTACACTATTCTTGACTATAGAAACAGAAACTTCCTTAATTCATATTATTAATCCTGCATAAATGTAACTTCAATGTGTTAAGACAGGACTCAGAAAGGAATAAAAAAGGAAAATAAATTATGCTCTGGTCATTTGGGACTACAGACGCAAAAATTCTTTTGAAATATTATTATATCTAATAGTAGCATGTATATTTGATACACCGGCGGTGTACCAAAAGTAAGTACCCAAGGAATAAAATAGATAGGATTTAGTTCTGATATCCCCTTATCAGGAAATCTATCAATAATTAGACCAATATATTGAAAGAGAAAAACATTATGATCTTATAGTCAAGTGCAGAAGAGATGTTTGACAAACTTCAGCAATCTTACCATAATGTAAGTCCTG